AAAAAAAAAAAAAAAAAGAGTCATGTAAGTAGGTTATTGCTCCGCTCAGAAGTAGTACAGTAAAAGCCCAATTCCTTACAAAAGACCTGTAAGACCAAACAAGATCCACATCCTCCCCGCCATCCATTGCATCTCCAGCCTCATCCCCTACCACCAACCCTACAGCTCTCACTTTCTTCCAGCCGCCTGGCTTCTTTGCTATTTCTCCAGCCTCAGGGCCTCCACTTTCGCTATGACTTCTGTCTGGAATGCTCTTCCAACACATCTGAGCGTAGCTTTCTCCCTCACCTATTTCTGGTAGTTACCCTAATGTCACCATCTCAATGAGGGCTTCCCTCACCCTATCAGATGGCCTAATTCCTTCCAGTGTTTCCTTTTCCTCCACAGTACTTGAAGGCATCTCACGAATACTACATATTTCACATAGTTATCATGCCTGTCTCCACAATGCAAGCTCTGTGGAGGCAGAAATTTATGTCTCTTCTGTTCACTGCCATATCCCATGTCTAGAACAGTTCTTGCATCTAGCAGGTAAAATAAATGAAGGAAAAATGCAATATGAGACACCCACATAATCAGGGGTAGGGTCTTAATTTATTCTCAAGAACAAAAAGAACATTTCATTTTGCAAAGCAATCTGTGGTTCCCTTCAAAATAAGCAAAAAAAAAAGAAAAAGTATCCTATTGATCTATATAGTTGTTTATTAAGACAATGCTTTGAAACCTGAAAAGAACTTCCCTTTTCTGTTGACCTATACACGCTATTCAGGAACGTAAGGTACAGAGCACTGTTTCCAAATGACAAAGCAAACAAGGCCCTGAATGTTTTCATGTATCTAATTATAAAAGGGCTTATTTGTTATATTTTTACTGAGCACAATAATTTGAGTTGTTCAATTGTAATAACATTTATTACATTTCTCATCCACTCTGAAACACTTAAAATTATAACCTAAGTGAGAAATAATTCACATACTAAAAAATTCACCATTTTAAGTGTACCCTTCTGTGGTTTTCAATATATTCACAAGGTTGTACAAGCATCACTGCTATCTAATTCCAGAACATTTTCAGCACCCCCAAAAAGAAACTCTGTACCCACTAAGAATCATTCTCCATTTCTTTCACTACCCTCTTCCCCCAACAGGCAATAATCAACTTTCTGTCCCTATGAATTTGTCTACTTAAACCTAACATTCTTAACACATGACCTACATGTTTCTCCTGTGGTCTGAAAATACTGACCGAGCACCATGTTGTATCAACTGAATAAATTGTCTTCCTCTTGGCATGGGTTCCCAGAACCACAAAAGTGTTGGTAGCCCTGTCCCTGAGTGAACTAAACCAGTAGGTTCTGAACCTGGGGCAGCAACGGTGAAGAATAGCCCTTGGCCATCCCAGCACTGCAGTTTTATTTCAAAGCACAAATCTCTCACAGGACACACGAGATGCAAGGTGAGAGCTGGAAAATGAGAATGTAAGAAATAAAGCTATTCTAAGAACCTACCCACTTCCAAGGATGAGACTGGGAGGGATACCACAGATAACCCCAGCTCTCTCACTGCTGGCCTCAGCTTCCTAATGCCTGTGGATGGTGAACACGGTATTTCACTACCCAAGGTGAGAAAGATATGGAGGTTTTATTGTAGAGGATACTGGATAAAACAATGAAGGAGTGTGTATGTTGAGTAAGATAACCTGTTTTTCTGTTTAGAGATGGAGTCCCATTATGTTACCCAGGCTGGGCTCAAACTCCTGGGCTCAAGGGATCCTTCCGCCTCAGCCTCCTGATTAGCTGGGATTATAGGCATACACCACCATGCCCAGCTCAAGATAACCTGATTCTTTACACACAAACACAAACAATAATATGGTTCATATCATTTTCGTAAGTGCTAGCTGAATATCTGAATGTAATAATGAGCTGATGACATATGTGGAAGCTCTTTATAAATTACACAATACTATGCAGATGCATTATTCATATTTCCTCATTTCTTCTCTCTCTCTTTTTTTTTTTTTTTTTTGAGATGGAGTCTCGCTCTGTTGCCCAGGCTGGAGTGCAGTGGTGCAATCTCGGCTCACTGCAAGCTCCGCCTCCCGGGTTCACACCATTCTCCCACCTCAGCCTCCTGAGTAGCTGGGACTACAGGCACCCGCCACCACGCCCGGCTAATTTTTTGTGTGTATTTTTAGTAGAGACGGGGTTTCATCGTATTAGCCAGGATGGTTTCAATCTCCTGACTTCGTGATCCGCCTGCCTCGTCCTCCCAAAGTGCTGGGATTACAGGCATGAGCCACCGCGCCTGGCCTAATTTCTTCTCTTTAAAGTCACTGCACCATTCTCAAAAATTACTTAGACCACCTTTGTTGTATGGGAGAAAAAAGAAGGTGGTTCCTACACTCTGGAAGTGTCTAATCTTCTTGAGGACACTGAAGGAAACTGTGAAATACCAGAAAAGCTTTGCAAGTGCAGAGTGATATCTGATAAGAAAATTCTAACCCTGGGGTGGCTTTCAGGGGGTCTCTCTTGCTCGAAGGGATGAGCATAGAATGGGGAAAGTTAGAAAAGGCATTCCAAGTTTGGGGGATTGCGTTTACCAGAGTCAGGCTGTTCTGCCTGAGCTTGGGATCTCTTAACATCTTACCTAGGGACAGAATCTAAACTGGAACCTGCTGCCACATTGTTAAAATCAAGTTCCACATCCTTTAAGGCAAATTTTTCCAGGATTTCAAAGGTCCTGTCTGACTCCTTGGAAATAACAAACATCTGCTTGCACTTCTCAGTAAACTCTTCGTGATAGAAACGTTCAAAGCTGTGCTTGTAGTCTTGATAGTAAAAAAGATAAGTTTTAATAACTTGGATTTGTAGTTTAACATTTTCGATTCCACGTGTTATTACAAATGCCCAGGAAGGCATCTTTCTGTATCTATATCACCTTCTTTCTATTTGTGAAATATTCCATATTTCACAGACCATTCGATACACTAATGAAAGAAAACTACAGGAAAATAATTGAACCTTTCTTCTGCTATTTGTACACAGAATCCTACTTAGGATTCCAAGTTATTTCATGACCTCAGAATGACAAGGGCAAAAAAATTAGGCTTGCTATATAATGCAGGTCATTTTTTCAAACTGTTAGCTAAGTAGGAAGTTATCTAATTCAGTCTTGTGAGGTATGTATGTGTGTCTATCTATGACAGAGGTTGAGGGAGTAGGGTATATTTTTAGGACAAATGCCCTAATAAGGATAACAACCACGGGTACAGCTGCAGCTCTGCCATTGGGCAAGTTTTTTAAACTCTCTGGTAAAATAAGGGGGTGGGGCCAGACAATGGACAATTTCTGAAGTTTCTTCCAGTTTTAATTTACTGCAATTCTAAATTCATTGCCTAATAAAAGTCAGGGTGTTCTGGGCTCCCAAAATGCCCTCCTGTCTCTGGAGACACCCATATTCCCTATGTTTGTTTGTTTGTTTGTTTGTTTGTTTGTTTTAGGAGTAAAGGCTGTTATCAACACATGCAGGAAAAGGAACACCAAATAGTTTAGTCTGATAAGTTCCCAAAACACTCACATTGTACCTTCATAGTTAACAGGGCTGCCCCACGGCTCAGACAGGACCAGAATAGACCGAGAGGATCCACAGGCTGTCCAAGGTTAGCTTCAAGTTTCAAGATCTTAGACAGAATTTGGATGACCTCACAGTCTAACAGTCCTCTTGCACTAACCCTAAGCCTCATCCAATAGTCTCAGGGATCTTCAGGGTCAAGAGTGTAAACTAATAGTTCTACATTGTCTTACAATAACTACCAGCTGCCCAAATGGCCTATCACTACCCTAACTGTGGACTATGAGATTTTGGAGCTACCTAGGTGATTAAAGAGCATTGAAGATCTAAAAGATAAAGAATTCAAGACTTCCTTCTAAAGGAAGGAAGGATTATTTTTAAAATAATCCATCCATTCCATGCCTTCTAATTCAGACATTTGGACCACATATATACATTCAAGAATACGTCTAAAACAAGCTAACCTTTCAGTAATATCCAAAATCAAAGACTAAGGAGAATACTATGGAGAAATAATATGACCTTAACTCCAAAACACAGAAAGGCTATATTCTTAAACACATTAGTGAATATTAATCAATAGATGCAGTTTAGGTTGAGATTAGTAAAAGAATATTAATATTAACCACATTTCTGACTTTAACCAAATGTATATATTCTTATTTAACCCATTTGTTGTTATTCATTCTCACTAGTTATTAACTCTGTGCCTGATATGTGTCCGGTGCTGTTTTTACCGGTTTACATAATTACTCTCAAAGTGGTTAATGTTAACCATTTTACAGAAGAAAAAACTATGGTTTACCAATACTACGTAATGCACTCAAGGTCACATAGCTAGGAGCGGAAAAATACAAGATCCAATGACCTGTCTGTCAGATTCTAAAACCCCAAGCCTGTCATAAATATGTGGGTTCTTTTTAGCTGCTCAACATCCAACCACCCTACCCTAGTTTCAGTAACAGCCCTAGATTATCATAGGGGATCCACCCATCCCAACTCCCAGTTCACATTAGTCCAAGGAAGCTAACTCCACTTCCAGCTCCAGAGGTGGCTTGTGACCCAGGATTAGCCAATCAGAGCATCACATTCCCTTGGTACCCAGTGACTGAATCAAATGCAAGTATATGGCCCAAGTCGGGCTAACCAGGGCCAGAAAGACTCAATGTTAGGAATGCTAGGACTTTGAGCCATTTCTGCTGGACTTGAACCTGGAGCTGCTATGGCCCATCTTCCTCTTCCTTCATGATAGAGAAGCCAAGGAGCTGAGCTAACATCAGGACAGCAGGGCCAGGTTGAGAAGCAGTCAGAGACGAGGGTCTGGTACCATCATTTGAGCAACTGAATGAAGCCTGAGCTGAATCAGACTTAATCCTGGGCTTTTTAGTTATATAAGCTAATAAATTCCCTCTTCGTTAAAATCAGTTTGAGTCACTTGCAACCAAAAGAGTTGGGACTGATACAATGTTCTTTTTCCAGGGTCCAGGTGATTTGGCTTCCAGGCAGTTTTGTGTAGCCTGCAGAGGTTTGTCTTCACCACCACCACCCACACTGAATTCAAATGACTCTCCTGTTCAGTACAGATCCATCTGCTCCCTATCACATTACAAGGACTATTGTGTGCCTGGTCCCTGAAAGCATTTGAGAATGTACCATCTGCCACCATTTTCCATCCCCATGTTAATTGGGCCCTTTCATCAGTAAATCATAATCTTTTGGGGTCATTAAAGCCTTTTGAGAATCTAATCAAAGATACAGGCCATCTGCCTACCCCCAGGACACACATAGGCATATAAACATTCTATTTTTCATTCAATTTCACATAATTTTCATATAGCCTATTTTTCATATAATCATCACAGATCCCTCCTGAAGTGTGTCTAGGTGACAGACTTTTCCCTTTTTAATCTGGTACATGTCCACAGGACACTATTTCCAAAAATAATGGTAATCATTTCATTCAGAGGCAATATAATGTCAGGCAATGCTTCTCAAACTTTAATGTACACGTGAAGCTCCTAGTCATCTTGTTAAACTGCAAATTTTAATTCAGTTGACCTGGAATGGAGCTCAAGATTCTACCTTTCTAACAAGCTATTGGGTGATGCTGAGGCTGCCAATCCATGAGTCACATTCTAATAAAAGAGGTGAAAAAGAGCAGGCATAGATTTTAGAGTCAGAGGGACCTGAGTTCAAATCTTGGATTGGTCCCTCACTAGTTATGTGACATTGGTAAGTCATTTCACTGCTACACAGCAGCTTTCATTTGCTCATCAGTAGAACCAGAATTATAATATAACACCTACCTTGCAGGGTTAAACCTTGAAGATTAAATGTAATAACATAACCAAAGCACCAGAAAATTAATAAAAGTTGATTCTCTTCCTCTTAGCTCAGTATTTCTGAATTTTGGGTAATTCTTTGTTATGGGGGCCATCCTGTGCACTATAGGATGCTTGTCAGTATCGCTGGCCTCTCCCCGTTAGATGCTAGTACCTCTCCCCCAATTGTGACAACCGAAAGTGTTTTCAGACATGGCCAAATGTCCCTTGAGGGAGCAAAATCGGCCCTGGTTGAGAACCACTGCTCTAGAGTCACTTGTTAAATGCCAGATACTTTGGGTATTCTCTGAGCTCCTTGACCCCCTAAACAATGTTCCATGACTGACTCATTACTTGCTCTTATTTTCAGCTGCAAAAATCTTCAAAGTGGAGAAATATATGTCACAAGAACACAATAATAATTTTTAAATGCTTAAGAAATATTTGCAATCATTTAAAAATTCCTTTCACAAGGAAGACCTATAAAAACATTACCTTTATGTTGATAATGGACTTAGTTATCTCTATATTTACTAACCTATATTTTCAATCATTGAAGTGGCTGGGTGAAGTTTTTCTATCACAACTGACCAGTCCTTGAAAACCAGCTCACCCAACTCGTGGAGACCACTATAAAATCTCACAGGGAGCCCTTTACTAATAATCTTGGCCTTAAGCTTTCCAATCCTCAATTTTTCCTCTTCGTTCGTTGAAGAACTCAAGGGCAGCCTCTCTCCCTTTTCCTCATCATCTGAAGCCTTCAGCAGTGTGGTTCCAGTCCTAAAGTAAAAATACTGAAATTGAGATTCATTCAGAAATGCTGCTTGGATTATCTCAAACTCCGTCAGACTGCAGTTGGGGTTCTCCAGAACCCAAGGATAACCGTTTTTTGCAGCAACATAGAGATTCTGTTCTACTTTGGATAAGCTTGACAAGCGAGTCACTTTGGAGGTCATGAAATGTGAGTAGTCGGGGAGGAAGTCTCCATACGTCTGACCCAGCATGCAGATGAAAAAGGGAAAGCAGCTGTTCACATAGTCAAGGCAGAGCTTCAGATGTTGGGACTGAAGACAAGAATACTGTCTAAACAGGTGGGTGGGTAAGGATTTTGGGGCCTTTAATTCTGACCAACTCAGGTCCACGGCTTTGAAATATGTGCCCCGGGAATTGCAGAGTTCATTAAGCTGAGGGAAGATGTTGTTTGCCAAAAAGTCTCTCTCTTCTTGAAAATCATTCAGAGTCGAGCAGATGTAAGGCTGAATGGGTTTCTGGGGCTTTTGAAGGAATTGGGTATACCTTTGTACATTCTCATTTGTCTTCTGGCTCATTTCTCTTTGCTTGGGGACAACACTATGCATAAAATATCACAATTTTCATCCTAGCACAGCCACCAACCCCCACTGCTTCTAATCTTCTTCCCAATTATGTTTACTATGAACAGGTGGAAATCTTTCTTGAAAATTGTTTCTTATCAGTATTGGAAGGTGAGAGATGCCAACCAAGGGACAGATCAGAGTTGAAAAACAATCCAGTTTAAGTTAGGACTGAAAAAGAAAAAAAACATTCATTTTAGGATTACAGGCAGTGCATATCTCCCCTGTACTTCCAAAGCTTTTGCTGAACCAGAAGGCAAGTGGGCACAGGCCAGAGGCCTCCCCCTTTTTCCCCCAGCCTCCTAGTCTACCTTCTCAGTGTCCCTGCGGCCAGCTGCTACTTCGGTCCCCTATGAATTTGGAAGTTATACAAGGGCACTTGCTGATAATGTGAAATAGAAAACAAACCCAGAAAAGGAGCTCAATGTCTTTAAGAGCAGAACAAGCCAAGGAAGACCTATGACTGTGACCAGAAGCAAGAATGAAAGCAGGTCTGAAGATGAAGTTAGGACAGGAGGAACAAAGGCCCTGGACTGAAAGCAGCTGGCAGCTGAGAGGCAAGGAAGTCTGGATCTAAAAACCTGGGAAAGTTCAGGGAATTTTCTTAGTCTTATATTGCGCAGGCTCATACAACATTCCACTCATCTCCATGAATTAAATTCCACTGAGCTAATGGAAAAACATACACCATCCAACAATGTCATAGCTATGCTTGCAAGAGCTCAGAAAAAAAAAAAAAAAAATGGTAACAACCTAGTTGTATGAGGTTTTTCTTGATACAACTCTTTTCCATGCCAAATATTGCTCTTCTTTGGTTATGTTTATTGCTCTCAGTTGTGGAAAAACATATCACATTATGGAGCAATTTTTCATCAGGATCACCTGACAACAATATAACAATGCAGTACCTTTTTAAAAAGTGTTAACCCTTTGCATGGTATTGCTCTGACAATCCTATGATAGCCAGGATTACCACTCCACTTTATGAATGAAGAAACACAAGTGCAGACAGGATAAACAGGACATCCAAAGTCAGTTAGCTAGGAAGTGGAGAGCCAGGATCTAAACGTGGGTCAGTCTTACTCCAGAACACATACAGTATGATGCCACCATAGTATAAAGATAAGACCCTAGGTCATGCAGACACTATAAAATTGGTGGGTGGGAAACACCTACGCAATAAGCAATACTGTAATAAATAGGTGGCAATTTAGAAAAGAGTAATTTAAACCACAATCTCACACTATTTTACAAAAAAAAAAAAATTCTGAAAGATGGCAGAATAGACACTAGGGGAGTTTTATCAATAGACACCTCACCAGCCATGTAGAAGGCTCAAGATAGATTACTGGCCCTTGCAGATTCTACCTTCTCCTATTCCCCTGTGACAAAAGTCATTCCTATTTTACTCACTACCAATCCTTTATCAATAGATATATAAACAGAACCACACTCAGAGATGTGTCAAATAATGGAAACTTCAGATAAATTTTAAATAGCTATGAATAATAGGTGAAAAAAAGCTAGTGGAGGGCCGGGCGTGGTGGCTTACACCTATAATCCCAGGAGTTTGAGACCAGCCTGGCCAACATGGTGAAACCCGTCTCTACTAAAAATACAAAATTAGCTGGGTGAGGTGGCACATGCCTATAATCCCAGCTACTAGGGAGGTTGAGGCAGGAGAATCACATGAACCCAGGAGGTGGAAGCTGCAGTGAGCCAAGATCGCACCATCGCACTCCAGCCTGGGCAATAAGAGCAAAACTCCATTTAAAAAAAAAAAAAAAAAAAAGCTAGTGGAAAATACGTAAAACATGTGTAAATAGATGTAAAGTTTCAGCAAAGAGATGAAAACTATGAGAAAGACTCAAATGAAAACATTCAAAAGAAAAAACATGGTATCAGAGATGAATTCCTTCATCAGGCTTTCTAGAAAACTTAACACAGCAGAAGAAAGAATCAGAAAACGTGAAGATGGGACAACAGAAATCCAAACTAAAACGCAAAGAGGAAAACAAGGAGAGAGGAAAAGAAACACCAAATACCCAAGAGCTATGGGAACAACTTCATCTACTCCAAATAGATATACCTGAAGTACTGGAAGGAGAAAAGAGGTAATGAGGCAGAAGACATAGTTAGGCGAGGAAGGGAAAGGCTTGAATGTTCAAAAATAATGAAAGATATAAAACCACAAATCCAAGAAAGTCAGATAAACCCAAGCAGTATAAATACAAAAAAAAGATAAAAAGAAAAAAATAATAAAACACCTAGACACATCACACAGATAAACAAAGATAATTGAGTGAATTCTTTGTTTTGTAATTTTTTTTTTTTTTTTGTAGTGACAGGGTCTCACTTTGTTGCCCAGGCTAGTCTCAAACTCTTGGCTTCAAGCAATCCTCCCACCTCAGTCTCCAAAGTGTTGAGATTACAGGTGTGAGCCACTGCACCTAGCCAAGTGAATTCTTTAAAGTACCAACTGGGATAAAAAAAAATAGTCAACCCAGAATTATATATCAGGTGAAATGTCTATAACAATGAAGGAAAACTGAAGACTTTTTCAGACAAACAAAACTGAGTAAATTGACTTCCAGAAGGCCTGTGCAATAAGAAATGTTAAAAGAAGTTCTTCAGAAGCTAGGTGCAGTAGCTCACGCCTGTAATCCCAGCACTTTGGGAGGTCGAAGCGGGTGGATCACAAGGTCAGAAGTTCGAGACAAGCCTGGCCAACATGGTGAAACCCCGTCTCTACTAAAAATACAAAAATTAGCTGGGTGTGGTGGTGCACACCTGTAATCCCAGCTACTCAGGAGGCTGAGGCAGGAGAATTGCTTGAACCCAGGAGGCAGAGTTTTCAGTGACCCATGATGGCACCACTGCACTCCAGCCTGGGTGGCAGACCAAGACTCCGTCTCAGGGGAAAAAAAAAGGGGGTACACACTGTAAACCCTAGAGCAACTAATACAAATTTTAAGAAGAAACATAACTAATAAGCCAATAGGAGAGCTCAATTGGAATTAGTGCAAAAGAATGCCAAGAAAGAGAAAAATAACCAGATGGAACAAATAGAAAACAAATAGCAAGATGGCAGATTGAAATCCCATAACATCAATAATTAAACTAGATGTAAATCCCTCCCTTAAAGGGAGAGATTAGGAGATAAGATTTAAAAAGCAACACCCCACTACATGCTGCCTAGAATAAATCTACTCTAAATATAAAGAGATAGACAAAATAAAAGTAAAAGGTTGGAAAAAGATATACCATGCAAACACTATTTAAAAGTAAACTAGAGGGCCTATATTATTATTCAGAAAAAAAGCAGACTGCAGAATAAGGACTACTACTAGGAATAGAGAGTGACATTACATTACATAATAATGAATATAAAAATAATTCATAGGTCAAAGAGAAAGTAAAAGAAATTAGAATGACAGAAGGCAGCTCATTTGTTAGCTGGAGAAGGTTTGGGGAGGAAATACTACAAATGGAAAGGAGCACAAGGAAACTCTTTGGAATGATGGAAATGTTCTATATCCTAATTATAGTGGTGGTTACACAGGTGTAGATATTCATCAAAGTTTATCAGTTGAACACTTTAAATGGGTGCATTTTATGTAATGTAAATTACATCAAAATAAAGTTGATTATTTTTTAAAATCCAGGAACTACATAGCAAGAGGAAAATGTTAAAGTGAAAAAAGAAAAAAAGTAGTTATAGACCATAATAATAGCAATGTGAATAGAACACTGCTAAATATGGGAGACAGCACAGTATAGAGATTGAACGTCCAAGCTCAGACCAATTCCCTGGATTCAAGTCCTTACAGTCAGTTTCTTAAATCCACTGTGCTTCAGTTTCCTCATCTGTAAAATAGGGATAACATTACCTATATCGCAGAGTGGTTGAGAAGATTAAAGAAGTTATTAGATGCAAAATGCTTAGAACAGTGCTTAGAAACAAATGCTCAATAAACGTTAATAATTATTATTAAAAATGAATGCACACAACGAACAAAAGGAAAGAAAAACAACATGGCAGCTGCCTTAGAATACTCATATTGTGGCAAAACTGCTTCTATAATCAAAATTGCTATAAATTACAGTTATTTTATAGTAAAAACAAATTAAAAAATAGTCATCTCCATACTCTGCTTCACAATTGCTGATAAAAAAAAAAATTCCCACTTTTTGCAAGAATAAATTAAAAACAGAAAACAGAAACCTAAATGAAAAAAGGAGTTATTTTTGAGTGGACAGAAAACACAGAAAAATAGGGCGTGCATTTTTATTTTTCTGTTTTTTGAGACAGAGTCTCGCTCTGTCACTCAGGCTGGAGTGCAGTGGCGTTATCATTGCTCAGTGAACCTCAAACTCTTGGACTCATGCAATCCTCCTGCCTCTGTCTCTCAAATAGCTGACACTACAGGTACCTGCCACTGTGACTGGCTAAGTTTTTTTAAAGACAAGGTCTCACTAAGTTTCTCAGGCTGGTCTTGAACTCCTAGCCTCAAGAGATCCTCCTGCTTCAACCTCCCAAAGTGGTATCCACCATGCCTGGTGTATTTTGCTTTAAAACAATTCAAAAAAAAAAAAAATTTATGCCAACCGGGCGTGATGGCTCACGTCTATAATCTCAGCACTTTGGGAGGCCGAGGCAGGTGCATCACGAGGTCAGGAGTTCAAGAGCAGCCAGGCCAATATGGTGAAACCCCATCTCTACTAAAAATACAAAAAAAAATTAGCCGGGCGTGGTGGCACACACCTGTAGTCCCAGCTACTCGGGAGGCTGAGACAGGAGAATTGCTTGAACCCAGGAGGCAGAAGGAGTGAGCTGAGATCGCGCCACTGCACTCCAGCCTGGGCAACAGAGCGAGACCCCATTTCAAAAAAAAAAATTACTATAAATATTTCATTATTACTGTAAGTGGAGGAAAAAACATATATATGGCACAAATAGACAGTAGCTGTAAAAATAAATGCATTAAGGCCAGGAGTCATGGCTCACTCCTGTAATCCCAACAGTTTGGAAGGCCAAAGAGGGCAGACTGCTTGAGCCCAGGGGTGTCCAGGCTGCTGTAAGGTATGATGGAACCACTGGGCTCCAGCCTGGGTGGCACAGCGAGGCCCTGTCTCTAAATAAATAAATATAAATGCATTAAAAAGAAAAC